TTCGATAGGGTTCCTCCTAGAAACCCTATTGATTAAACTCTTAATTAATCCTTATGAAATTCATTATTATGAGCTAACTAACCTGCTTTCATCCTCACCTATCATTATTTCTTGCTAGTGCCTCGCCAGTTATACCGATAGCACAGGCGGAGTTACCGTTTCATTTTCACCCATTACAACCCAAATACTGTTATGACATGATATTTCTCCTGCGTCACTTTACTAACGCAAATATTATTTCCTGTGTACCCAATAATTTCATTACCTTACCGCCCTTTTAAACCGGAACATATGAGCACTGAGAATAGCTGCTTGGCAACAAAAAGATAAATCACCCTACCATTAAATGTCCCATAGAAAAATTAACAATAGAACCTGGACCGTACTTAGTGCCATAAACTTAAAAAATTCCTTGGCCATTTAAATAAAAAAAAAATGTAAAGCTCCGTACTTACTATGTTGTACAGAAGTCACTCATTTGTATTATTATCTCAATACAATGTCAAACATTCGACGTAGAGATACACACATCTGGTGGCAACCATCTGGTCCCCAAACGGGGTACTGACGTCACAGGCTTGACATATGGCTGCAACGGATAGGTCTTTTGCCGATTGTTTGTTTTTTTTTTATACAACGTTTTTAGTGCCTATTGCAATTGTAATTGCTTAATCTGTCGAAATTATTACTTTCTTTTCAGCTTTTTTATTAAACGCGTTATTATCAAAATATTACATTATCTGTGCCAAAGGAAAAAAACATATTTACAATGTCTATGCCAGACGGCAGGTTAAAGATACAATACCCATAATGTGTAGATTAGGAATTCGTTTAAAATTACACAAAATGTTCCCCAGATTTTTTTAAAAGGATTGTTATTAATGGGGACTAGCGGTTTCATTGCTAACAACATACGTACAAACAATAGCTAGCAGTATACAACAATACAGGGGGAACCACGAGAAGTCAAATCAACTCCTCGTGGTTCCCCATGAAAACCATTGTAATTTATTCTTAATACAAATATTATTCGTTATGATGGGCTAACTGGCCTGCTTTCATCCTCACCTATCATCCCTCACTCGTGCCCGATAGCGCAAGCAGAGTGGAATGATATTCCATTATCATTCATTATGAAAAATGAAATGTCGTAAGAAATAATTAGTAACAATACACCAATTTAAAAAAAGAAGAATCAGAAATGATAGAAGTACAATAAAACGCTTGGTCCACTTGGTAATAATAGACTTTATATCCTTCTAATCCACGACGTGGACTTTTTTTATATTCCTTCTTTTTTATAATTTACAATTTTTATCCTTCTGTTATTCTCTTACTACTTGTATTATTTTTCTATTGCTGTGATTGATTAACGGAATATATTTTTATAATTTACTACTTCTTATTTTTTCTTGGTATCAACTCTCACAAATAATAGTTTCTTTTATAGGTATAGAACTAAAGATTAAATTTAATAGGTTGTTATAATGAAAAAGATGAAGGTAAATAGATAATTATTTATATAAAATAATTGTGTAATGTATTTAATAAACAGCGTCACGCCTTCAAATTGCTGTTAATGCTAAATTCTAAATTACCAAACAGCAAAGCGTCAATTTAATTCTTCAACAAATTTTCCAGAGATCGTTATCAAACAGACCCAATTAGTTGAAACGAGGGACGACGGTTGGGTTAAAAGTCCTTCAACCATGTTAGATTCCAAGGTGCTCAATGTAATGCAAGCTAATCAATATATCTCCATTTATAACACTTCATCAGCACGTAACTTTGGTAAGACGTTTGTATGGATGCCTTTGCTCATTGTAACTCGAGATGTACATGGCATTGGCTAGCGTTAAACAAGTAATAATTCTGAAATTGCAAGCATTTATGAACGGCGGTAGATATTTCTTATTAAACAAATCATATTCATGCTAATGATATCTCTTTGTATGTCTTTGAACTGTAGTAGTCGTTTTCTATTAAGCAAATCATAGACATGCAAAGTAGGGATGGGTAATATATATATATATATATATATATATATATATATATATATATATATATATATATATATATATATATATTAATTACAATATTTATATACTGGTATAATAACGAATATATTTTAAATACACAATCGGGACTTAAGTCGACGTAAAAACCTTTACAGGTAAATACATACATGCTTCTTTATTACCGACGTTTAGTTAAGTCCCGATTGTTTATTTAAAAAATATGTGTTTCAAGTTTAAAATTAACTAATAACGAATGTCTTAAAAGTCTGTTATCCAAATTTATTGTTTTAAACTTTTAATATATTCGAAAATAGATATCCAATCGATATGGGCGATATCGAAACGGGTGATGACCTTTTTTCCACCATCAATGTCCAGAGAAACCCAATATATAGATATTGGATCGGTATCCATATTACCCACGCATAATGCATATTATTGTTCTTTTTTTAAAAGCGAATCGAAATGCTTTCTTCATTGAACAAAATGCCTCGCTTTTGTCGTCAACTGGGTGCCCATTTGTTTGCACCAAATATTATTCTTTTGTTTTTATAATAAAGGTAGTTTAACCACGCATGTTTATTTAAGATTTGCCCAATAGCGCAATAAATAATCCGAAATCGTTTAAACTAATTGGGTTCAATTTCAATATGAGATACGGAGATTAACACCAGTGACGTATTGCAGCAAAAAGCCCCCATACGGCACCCAGCCCATTCAAATCTGACGACCCATACTGTGACATGTGAACAAACAAACAAATCTCATAAATGTATCCAAATATTCGTAATAATCTTTACGGTTTGGAGATAAAGCTCATTTTTAAATAGCTGCGTGTTAGCACTGGCAATGTTGTTAAGTTATTCACTTGTCTGCAAGGGAGACCCTTGTAACATGTGTGGGGTTACAGTTGGTTTTTTGTGACCCCTTTTGTTTTGGAGTTGGAAAATTATTGTAATTATTATTGATGGAATTTTGAAATAAACTTTTGTGTTCGTAACGGACATTATACTTTGTAATTTATGGGGTTTTTTTTTTGTAAAGAAGAAAAGAATGGCAAACAATCTGATGACCTAACTGATGGAAAGTAATCATGTTTAAATATCCAAAAGAATAGTAGTATAGAAGTACGCTATAAAACTCACAATTACTGGTATAGATGTCACAGTATATTTTGTAACTTCTATTATGAAAGTCATATAATACTTTTATAATAGTTAGAGAATACTTAGAGACATAAGGATCTCCTTTCCACGAACAGTCATCTATTTGCACTGAAAATTGAGTGCTTTCAACCAAATTGTGCGCTCTTTTCTGAATGGCATTTTGTAATCAAACGATGCCCGCATATTCTTATTTATTTATTTTACTCTTTATTGCACCAAGTAAAAAATAATAAAATTGAAAATACATATAATAAAGAACAAAATGTAAATTCTTACAAATGTTATGAACTATATCTCTAATTTGATCTAGACAGGGAGTTACATACTTCGAGTAAATATTTTATCAGCTCTACTCATATTTTATCTGACAAGAACTTATTTTCTTTTAATTTTAATTAAGGACACTGTTAAGTATACGACATGTAATGGCAATAAATAAATGAATAAATGAATAAAGTATAAGTGTAACTTTTGCTTGGGAATGTAAATATAGGATTCTATGCTTATACTATATTATATTATATTAATAGAGCGTCAAGCCTCAAAAACTTTTTATTTTTATCAATACTCTCGTTTTTTTTATTAATATTGAATATACTTACGCATATAATGAATCTTAACGTATTATTTAATAAACAAAATAAATTTCGCATAAAAAAGATGCAGAAATTATATAAACAAAATAAATATAGAAGTTATAAAGGAATCGCTCATAACAATTTATCACGCAAAATTCTATGAAAAAATTAAATCGTTTTTCTCGAAGCATTTGTATGAAAACACTCTATATAGGTAATCAAAGACTATACTATTTCTGGAAAAACATTACACTATGCTAGCATAGTATTGTTTTCTACTACTTGCCTATGCTACTAGTGGTAATTTTAAATCGCAAAGACTTAAATTCTCACTAATCAGAATCAGCTAAGTACTTAAATACCTATCACGGACTATAATGAAAAGCTAAATATTGATTGGCGCATCTATTATTATTGATAATCTTAATCGATAAATTTAATACATAAATCGGAAATAGTATGTTACGAAATGATATGGAACTTTTTTCTTATATTATTCAATATTAAATATTAGGAGGAAAAGGGATTGTTAGTAATGGAGACTGAGAATCCTATTGCTAGCAATATACCCAACCAGGTCGACCTCCTCGCGGTTCTCCCTGAAAACTATCATGGTCAATTTCTGATGAATTCATCATGATGGGCTAACTGGCCTGTTTTCATTCTCATCTATCACCCTTCACTGGTGCTCCGCCAGCGTATCCCGTTAGTGCAAGCGGGGTTACCATACCATTTTCACCCATCAAAAAAAAAAAAATTAATATAACCTTTTTTTAGACTTTGAATAGATACTAAAAATTGAGTAAAATCGTCAAACTAAATATTGGAATGATATAAAAACTTTTTCTTATACTATTCAATATAAAGTATTTATAAAAAAAATTGAAAAATTTTCGTTACGTTTTTGCTTCAGGACAACGACTGTTAAACAAGATATCTTCGGCATTGGTGAAAATTTAATAGTTATTATTAATTATATAATTACAATATAAAAATAGTGATAAATAATTATTGTAACTGAGTAGTTTTTGTAGTTCTGGGATAATCGCATTTTACTTTTCTTTAACATAATTTTTGCTGTCGATATTTCTCTACTATTGCCGACGGTATAACGTAATTCAAAATAAATATATAAAATGAACAAGTTACCTTTTTAATAAATTTTTAAAAACTTTTAAATAAAATCCTTTATATTTAAAATTATATTTAAAACATAATTTATAAAAAAGAGCACCTACCTTTGACTTCAGGTTGAGTATCGGAAGCGGAAATGAAAGATGCCATCTTCGCAATCCTTATCGACACTTCAAAATCCAAAATTCCAACAACAATCTTATGCGAACCAATTATTGAACACTAGTGGCGATTATTGGCACGATATAAGACACAGTTTTTGTTATAAATATACTTTTTTTTCCATTTAAAACTTGATTGTCATTGTATCGCGTTACGATCGGAGTATTGCATGCATCGCGCGAACACTCGCACGCACATGACTTCACTGCGGCCCCTTCCGTTCAACTGACGAAACGAGCAGTATTATGAGGTTAGGTTTGGCTTGTAGTTCAGCCAGGGTAAAAAAGCACGGCGCCAGCCCAGTCTCGCCCTTAGAGATGCGACTCTCATGATATGATTGGAATTTTATCGTGGATATTGTTTTGTTTTTTGCTATTCTGAAGGATAAATTTGCAATTTTAACGTAGATAGAGATTTATTAATTAGGCTTCAGTATGCGCAAGTGATTAAAAAACCAACGCCAGTTATAGTCTACATAGGATTCCGACTATCCCATTAAGATCGATTTTGAAAGCTAAAGCTAAAGTTTTGATAGTTCTAAACTATTATTTTGTGCATTGCCGAGAAATAAATTTAAATTTGTTCTGTATCAAATCTAAACAACCTTACCTCCTTATTCATAAAAACCTAAAACCTTCTACAAATCTTCTTTAGCTATTACACTGTTTTAACACTCTCTTTCAAATTATCAATTTAACGCAAAAGAAAGAGGCAAAACAGTTCAATAGTGAAATGAATTTATGAGAGGTTTGACATTTTTAATATTAAGGGGGGGGGGGGGGGTTGATTAGTCCTTAAAACAATGATTTAGCTGTAATCTCAGAGTCGACTTTATTGTGAACAAATCGTCATAAGTACCTGATAACGATTTTAGCAAATCATTTTTACCCAAATTGAAACTTTACCTAGTAAGATAGTAAAGTTACCTTTTTGTGAAATTTCTTGTCAGTTTATGTATATTATCATATGATTATTCATCACCATCTACCTTATCCCAATTACTCTTTGGAATAAGAGTAATATGTTTTTCCGTTCCATTCTTCTCTATTCGCAGCCATTATCATACGATTATTATCGGCAATTATATATTTATTTTATGTAATTTTAGAATGGCAAACAAGCTGACGGCCCACCTGACGGAAAGTGGTGACCGTCGTCTATAGACCTGAACAATACCATAGACATAACAGAGTATAATGTGTTGCCTAAGATTAATGTAAATAAATACGATATTACGTTTATGATCGTTAGAAACAGTTGCAACTATTAATTTAGCAGCAGACGGATATAATCCGCACGGATTATTATATTTCGTTGTGAAGACTAAGATGGACAGTAATTGATACAGAAAGCATATTGTTGTGTCAATAATTTACTTGGCCACCATAATTCTCAAGAGGAACGACTTTAATAAACAACATATTGCTCTATGTCCTATTTTTACTACTTTCCAAAAAGTGAATTCATCATCGCTTGAAATCAATTCCAATTTATTCATTAATAAAACGAATTAATCCATTAATAAAACCAATAATACAATTCTTCATATCACTGATAACGATATCAGCTGTGTAGGTGCAAACTGAAAATCAGCGCTGAACGAACATCAGTCCAACAAAAGCTGAGATTGTACCTATTGCCAGGCGCATACGAATACTGCACAATATATTGATTAATTCATATATGTACATTATTTCTGTGAAGAATGGTAATAAATTTAATTATTATTATTATTATCGTCCACAACTGAGCATAGGCCTCCCCCTATTGGGACGATTTGCCAGGATTTGGTAGGCGGATTGGCAATCGCAGTTAGATTTTGGTGATGTTTTTTGTGATGTTCCTTGCTGCTGCCCATTCCTTGATTATTAAGTTCCTTTAGTTGCGTCTTACGACACCCATGAGAAGGAAAGGAATGGCCCATTCTATGCCTGAACCACACGGCAATCTTCATATCATTAATACCTGATAGTGATCAAAATTTTCATTGAGTTTTAATATTATTATTATCCCATTTCGTCATAAATTGTTTTGTTGACATATCTTCCATGATTTGATTTAAAAAAATGCTTTTCCGCATGATTTGAATCTAGTTCAATAGAATTTGAATATATTTCTTTTTAAATCTAAATAATGCAGTGACACAATCGAGTATCGATATGTCACAACACTGGCGCGCCAGCCGGTCGCATTCTCTGGCCGTCGGCGGCGACTTGTCGTGAGGATCGCCACAACACCGCGCTATACGCCACTGTATCTCGACATTTGTTCCAACTTACAGGCTATTTCCAAATGCACATGTGCGCATCCGTGACTCACGCACGCATACGCATTACACGTTAATTTACGTACACTTTATTCGCACCGAGTAACACAACTGCATTTATAAAGACGTCTAAATTAGAATTGAATAATTGACGTAAATTCACTCTATAAGCTATTATACTGTATAATAGACAACTAGTGCATCTATGGTAGGTATATGACCTTATGTTGCTCTAATTTTATCTAAAAATCTCTTAGACAAAATGTCATATACCTGTCCACATTTATTTACTCTTTATTACACCATTTTAAGAATAATATAAAATATGTATATGTATATATATTACACTTATGAAGTACAAAAGGCGGTCTTATCGGTAAAGCAATCTCTTCCAGACAACTTTTGGATAGAGGAAAAAAGAAAAACACGGTAGCTATTTGGCGCAAGAAATATCTAATAAATAATAAAATTTTACATACATTTAAGTACTTATAATAGTATAAACTGTATTAATAAATATATAATAAATATTTTAATACACGCATTCTAATATAAAAAAGCTTCCTGTCCTAATTATTGTGTCAAAATTAATGAAAATGCACAATTTTGTAACATAGGCAAATAACAAAAAAGATGTCTAGATAAATCAATTTATTTATTTATTCATTTATTTATTCATTTATTTATTGCCATTACATGTTGTAACAAAATTGGTCTTAATTTACTAAAAGTATAGAATCAAACATGAACCCTGAAAGGGCACAGCAACCACATTAATAAATCTTATATAAACTACATAATTAAATTTTTACATTATATATATGTATCGTCGATTAGTATAAAAAATAAAAAAAAAAAATAAAAAATCATCATTAAATTAAAACAAACAGGCACAAACACAACTAACTTTTTTCCTTGAAAAAACATATTGTATATTATATATAATTTTTTATTTCTCCTAATATATTTTTTTGCCATTTCTGTCAGTATAAATTCAGTATATTTATACTGACAGAAATGGCAGAATTATGGGTAAAAGCTAAGGAATCATTATCTCTAATCTAAACCATTCATTTTTTCTTTGCGACATTTAAATTTTATTTAAAACTTAATCATATAAATTATTCTACATATGACCTCATGATCTATATTGGTATACAACATATGGTAACAATTATGGTTAATTGTTAAATAATAGCCACGATAAGTAGACGTTAATCAGAAAGTAGGCGTAGTACTTCCTTTATTTTAAAATATCATTGTCTGCTACTTTAGGCAATGCAGTTTGAGCTTTTTCTCTGTTTCAGGTTTTTCTCAGCTCTTTGGTGACGATGGCGCGGCATCCTCTTTATCATTTCTTAACGCGTCCAGATTTGGCGATGCCGATATAAAATCCTGTTCGGTCGACTTTTTGCGCACACGTTTCCACAGTTTCGGGGAACGAGTCGCAAAACAACCAATTTTTGCCTCCAGCCGTTTATACAGGTTTTGTCGTGATTTTTATGCTCGCCAACAGCGGTTACTGCATTAATTCAAGTCATAACAGAATCGAAAATTGTACAAATATTTTGGTGGCATCCTTTAATCGTCCAACTTGAGTGCCTTGAGTTCCATTACGCTTTTAATTATTATTATATATGCCACTGCAGTATGAGATCTGGTGAGTTACCTTTGAAATGCATAGTGCAGTTTCAGAGGAGCTTCCTTCCGCGAATAATCAGGTTGTGCAATGATCTTCCTGCCGAGGCTTTGCCTAGAGACTACAGCATGGGATTCTTCACACAGAGCGTATTAAGGTTTCTTAAGAGTCGGCAACGCGCGCATGACACTCCTGGTGTAACAGGCGTCCATAGGCTACGATAACCACGTCTACCATCATACGGGCCGTATGCTTGAGTACCATCATAGTATTATAAAAAAATTCAATAAATTAATATTGAAATTGAGACTTTAGGTACTCTAATTGCAGTAATAGCGACATAATGATTCTATATTGTTCTGATAGATGCATATTAATATAACTTGTCAATGCAAACTATTGTAAACCGTTCCCAAACACAACTTAATTCCTTACTGATGTTTTATGAGTGCAGTTTAAAATTGTCATTGGCATTAAATTGGACTGATACTGATATTAGATTGAAGAGTAGACCCACTGGTTTTTCTAAAGAGGCCACCAAATTGTCAGTTCCAAAACGTGGGACTGAATATTTGAACAATAATTTGAGTAGCGGTCTCAGGATTGAGGTGTGAAAGGATAATTCCTGAATAAACAAAATGACTGTAAGATGGTAAATAATAAATGGATGGATAACCTTGCCCTGTGTAGGTGTCAAGCGGTCAGGTAAAGCTTTTGACACCTAGCCATGACCGCGAAGAAATAGTGTGAATCTCGGCGCTTTTTATTTAACATTCATGGTTTTTTTGACTATTTGATGAGGTCGACAAGCAATTCGAGTTTACCGAGGCTGATATTGAATGAAATGTTGAAATTTTTAATTTATTTGTTCTAAGAATTTTAAATAAAGAAAGTGTTCTTTTATATTTACTTCAAATATTACATTATATAGATAATATATTACAATATTGCTTTCTTTCTTCCTTTTTCCATTTCTTCCTTTCATTCTGTTTACATTATAATATTACAATAAGTTAAAAAGTTGTCTTGTAGGAATCTTTTTAATTTTGCATTCTAACTTTGGTATCCACTTTTATTGTCCTGTTAATGTAATGTTAGATACCACACACCAAAGAAAACATGATGGCGAGAACGATTTTTGTCAGTTATTTAGGCAACTCGTGTCTATTACAAGATTTAGTGGCTCATATAATTTCAAGCGCGAACCGGCCACCTGGCCAGAGTGCAAGTGCTTCCAAATATAAACGCGTTCTCTTTAACCAAAACACATTCATGTGATAAACAAGCGACAATTAGTCACTGTGAGCACCTATTAAAAACATTTATACAAATTA